GTGAAAGTGTCGGGTCGAATGTTTCAAAACAGCGTTTACTTTTTCCGCTCTGCGGCCGATGTTGTGACGCATCCTCTTGTTGCCATCGCTGTTGCAAGCGCTGAAGGCCATGAAGGCTGCATATATATATGCTCATAGATATCAATAATAACACATGTGTTATATGATATCTCTAGCTGTGCTGGTTACGTGACTTGCCGCCATGATAAACGAATTATGAGTATGTCAAAGCCATGCTCAGTATATAGTAAACAATAAGTTATGTATATATATATATTATATATATGTATATATATTTCTATGGCTGAAACACACCGAGACATTCTGAGTGTGCTCTAGACAGACCTGTAATCAACAGCTTCATTCACGTGGGCATTATACACAGAGCTACAGTACATGTGCAGTGATAACACGCACCAGTCAATCATTACTCTTGATTGTTTTGCAGTAACAATTTTGGCAGCAATACAAGCGCTCTACATAATATCAAGAGCTCATAATAGAGAAGAGTATGACACCGTTTTAACAGCGTTTTGCATAGTTTTCAACTTGTAAATATTGTATCAATATGTGAATAAATATATTCAAACTTTACCTAGTTTTCGTCTATGATTCTCCCTTAATCATATAACACCACCAATTTACCTGAAAATCGTATGTGTTCTTCAAAAAAGTTCTTCGATTAAGACATGGTTTCACACAGTTTTCTCAACAATTTGCATCTGAGCGGCGCATGTTGATATGCGGCGGCAGCACCAGGTTGGAACTATGGGACGCTGAGGGCTGTTGGGGATATTAGGTAAGCACAGTAACAGCACTTGTTTCGCTTCCTTATCATCAGGAACACGATGGCAACGCAGCTAAAATCGGCTGCTATCATGCTGTGAGCACACATTTATTTCTAGCACGCTGGAAACGCTACACGCTGAATACAATTCGATGCCTAATATTTCCAACAGCCCCCAGCGTTTCGTCATAAACAATAGAACACTAATCCAATAATAAACTTGCGCCGAATAGATCTATGCGAACATTTGGGAAAACTGTGTGAAACCGTGTCGTATTCAAAGAACTTTTTTGAAAAACACATGCGATTTTCAGGTAAATTGGTAGTGTCATATGATTACTTAAGGGAGAATCATAGACGAAAACAAGGTAAAGTTTGAATAATATATTTATTCACTTATTGATAGAATATTTACAAGTTAATAACTATGCAAAACGGTGTCATACTCTTCTCTATTATCAGCTCTTGATAATATATTGACCCAGATTTCTACGACAGCTGATGATATTTACGTGATACCGAAAGATAGTTCTTAAAATAAAATAAATAATTCAATTTAAAAGAAATTACATGTGCTTTATTTTAAAAATAGTTTAGCCTGCCTTACAGGCTTACTCCCTGTTTAACATCCGTATTGTTTGTATTGCGATACGGACGTTGCGTACCGATTATATCATTGTAGCGTTGGCTGCTGTATCGCGATTCACCGATGTATCGGTGAATCGTTACACCCCTAGTAATAACCCTGGTGTGATAATACTATTGGCAAGCAAAACAAGTATGCAATGACTCCAATTGGTGATAGCATATGCCAAATAAAACTGATCCTCTAAAAGTTCTGATCAGTTTTGATAGCAAACAACGAAATCGTTGAACATGAACAGCACCAAGTATCAGACAGAACTCGCTTTTATTCTGGTATGAGGTGGTGACATGCGATTTTCATGACTTAGGATAATCTAGTCTACTAGCCACTATTATGCAATGAGTAACTGTGTGGTAAGTCTTAGATCCTAAGTGCAGGGCATGAAATTCATATTTCTTGCACCGGCCCAGAGGGCTGGTAACAGCAGTTTTATTACCAGCCCTCACAAATTTTGTTTGCTGTTTGAACCAGAAGGGACCTAAAATAAGACTTGGAATGATAATTAAAAAAATGCTTATAAGCCCTAATTAGATTCTTTCAAAATAAAGTCCGAATGATGTCCAAAGTGTTTTTGTCAATGTCATGTTTCACGCTTGCATTCTCGATTTCAAATTTTGTAAAATGTGGAGAAATTATGGCGTGATATCTTTCAGGTAAAACAGTAATCTAGTCTATTTTCTCATTTTAAATGCTATAAATAATGAAAGTGTCAATGACACTGTAGCTCACAACAAAAAGTGGACACAAATGAGTGAGTAAGAAGAAGTCGGTTTTAATTGAGCAACTATCGACGTACATTATAGAAATGATTGCCATCTGTATATCGCAATAATAATTTATAAACCAAAATGAATCACAATTTGCGACCGTAGATGGCGCTATACCCGCTTTGTAGCGATGGCGTTTGAAATAAATTCCGAGTTGCTTAGCATAACTGTTCCACACAATGCGCTGCAGTACGTCCTGCGTGCGTATGGAGTACTTTCAACAACTTACAGTTTTTACTTTTAGTTTTTACACTTACAGCGATACACCGGCACACGTGAGTGGGTATGAAATCGAGCACCGACCGTCAGCAAGTGCACGCGAACGCCAAGTGGGACGTCATCAGCATGGCGTGCGTACAGACTGTAGCAGGGTATAGAATGACGTAATGTAAAACGTGCTTAAAATAGCCACTAACATACGGGTATTTCTTGGGCGCATGCGTATGTTACAGAAAGTCGCCATCTTTGTAGATATATCTTGTGTTTTGAAGTTTAACCGTGGTTAAAAATGATTTTGTATTGATGTTGTTGCATATAATGTCTACCGTATAATGGTATAGTGTATAATAACCAATGCAATACTATATATTATGCTAGGTTGTAATTGCTGACGATAATTTGTTAAATATCGCCATAGGACCAGATTTGTCAACAAAAGGCTGTTAGGGGCCTACTGTTACTGTTGTTAGTGTTACTTAGTGTTAATAAGAATATTAAGATAGGGTACCAATCATAATGTGATCAGTAGTCTAATGTAATCGAAATGGGTTATTTTAGGTTTAGACATGTGGTTACTTTAGTACACATTGCCACTGCTCTGGTAATACTAGCGTAGTACCTCGTGTATAAGAAACGGGGTGTAAATAATATTGTTTTATAAAACATGGCAGTAATTCCCGGTTTCTAGTTTGAGATTATTTATTCCTGAGCTGCACGTGACGTAGTCATTGGCACGTTAGCTTTGCCTTTTTAATTTTAGTATTTACTATTATTTTATTTACTCTGTTATTTTAAACATGAAACAAGGCTGCAGCTACCACACAGGCACTTGAAGCGTTTCAATAAAATATAATGCTAACTAAATACGAAATATATTTACTACCAAATTCTTAATGTTTCTATACTCTCTTTCACCTATTATTGCTGACAGTTTCCTTTAAATTCCGTCCAAATCCTACGTGCAACCATATACGCTGCCGGCTCCATTGCTTTCGCGGCTCCACTGTTGCACGCTTGCACTAATATATATAGTTACACTACTATATATGTGTGTTGGGTAAAAAAAATTGCTCAGGAATACGTTCATTCAAAGCTCTTAGACTACAAAGTGAAAGTGTCGGGTCGAATGTTTCAAACAGCGTTTACTTTTTCCGCTCTGCGGCGATGTTGTGACGCATCTCTTGTTGCCATGCGGTGTTGCCAAGCGCTGAAGGCCATGAAGGCTGCATATATATGCTCATAGATATCATATAACACATGTGTTATATGATATCTCTAGCTGTGCTGGTTACGTGACTTGCGTTTGCCGGCCGATTGATAAACTCTTTATGTGAGTATGGTCAAGCACTGCGTCAGTATATTAGTAAAAAATAATTATGTACTATATAGTATATATATCTATATATATATATTTCTTATG